TTAAGGGTCTTTTGAGATAATTTGGGGGGATTTGTGCAGTCTGTTTAGTTAATTTTTAAACACGTAGAATCATGGGTATCTGGTTAACATTGTCAAAATCTCAGATTACCTCCCTGAGTTCCCTTTGGAATTTTGATGAAAAGTTGATTACATTTTCCTGCCTTTGTTCTTGGCTTTTCCTCTCCATCCCCCTTATGCTTTTCCAATATTGTATACCTTCTCCATTGCTGTAGATTTATTGCGAGTTTAGAAATCATTCTTTGTCAATAAGTATATTATTTTTTGAAATCCTTTTGAGAATTCTGAGTGTTTCCAATTCGAGAGTGTTTCCAATTTGCATATTGGTTTGGAATCAGATATACTGTTATGTGGTATTGGGAATTTTCTTTGGATTTTATTCAATTCATGTAAAATTTTACCTTATAAGGAGGCAGGTGTTGCTATTGCACACCTTTAATCCCAGCACTTGGAGGCAGATGCAGGAGGATCTCTGTGATGTGAGACCAGCATGTTCTACAAAGCCTAGTTCCCGGATGCCCTTAAAAGCCATAGGGAAACCAAAGTGATCTGGACTGCCTTAGTCAGGAAACATTATCAAGAATAGAAAACATTATCAAGAATAGAAAAAAATGGAGTGGAAAATACCTGACTATCAATTGCTGGTGCCATAGCCCTGAAGTAATGGGACTTCAAGGAAATTTACTGATACCGTCCTGAACCAGTCACAGTCTCCATTTGTTCTGCCCCCCAACCCAACATGTACCATTTACATCTTGGATGACTACGAAATCCTGAAATTTGGGCTGGAGAGATGGCTCAGAGTTTAAGAGCAACTGGCTGCTCTTCCAGAGGTCCTGAGTTCAATTCCCAGCAACCACATGGTGGCTCACAACCATCTGTTATGAGATCTGGTGCCCTCTTCTGGTGTGCAGACATACATGGAAGCAGAATGCTGTATACATAATAAATAAAAAATAAAATCTTCAATAAAAGTATTTATAAAAAAAAAGAAATCGTGAAATTCCTGCCTCCACTTTCTGAGTAGTACTGATTCTGTCCTGAACCAGTCACAGTCTCCATTTGTTCTGCCCCCCCCCTCCAACATGTACCATTTACATCTTGGATGACTATGAAATCCTGAAATTTGGGCTGGAGAGATGGCTCAGAGGTTAAGAGCAACTGGCTGCTCC